GTCCTTTCTCTGCTGTTTTAGTCACTGAGGCTGATTAACTATCATGATCAACTCCATGGTCTCCAGCTACAGAACACTGCACAGCTGCTGCGTCATCCTGCAGCCTCCCTTCCTCTTAGGGTTGGCTTAGGAAATAGCTCCACCTTAGGCTGTGGATTGCAGGAACTGGGTATTAGCCTTGCCCAGCTCCAGCAGCAGTAGCATTTGGGGTCTTCTAGAAACAGATCCCTAACTTATAAGAGTCAAGGCCCTGTGTTGTCTCTGTTCCTGAGGACTCACTCTTAAGGCTTGGGGAAGACCTTGATCTGCCAATCGGGCTGATTTTATATTTGCTTCCAGGAGATCTGGATTTTAGATGGGTGCCTGCATCCAAGACTTTGCTCAGCCTCTTGAGAGCAAAGCTTTGATAGAGGCAAAGGTGGTTTGGCTTCAGTCGTCTTGGCTCATAGACATACAAGAACAACTCCCTGTCCTGATTCAGTTCTGTGCTACAAGAAGGGGAGATGTTGCATTGTGTCTTTCTTCAGTTATGATGCAGGGGGACATGGAAATGTGAGTCTGCAGTTGTTGTTTTGCTGCCACTGAGTACCTAGATCTCTTGATTGCTCACAGTATATTTAGTTACTAACCTAAATTATAGATTTGGGAACAATGCTGACCATGGGAAGTTTGAATGAGAAGATTCATTTTCCCTCTCACATTTATGGAAATGACCACCAAAATAGAAGAGGAGAAAATTTGATCAAACATACATGTGCCACATGTTAGTATATCAGTCTAGACCACTGTACAAGTCTAGCCTAGGAGTTAATATCATTCATCAAGTAAAAGTGGCCTCTTTCTTATTTATATTCATCAATGGGATGAGCAACCTTGATAGGTCAGGACAGGGTGGAACTCTTCTTTAAATTCACTTGCCATCCCAGAGTGTGGAGGGGTAGAGACTTAGCATGTAGCATCCTTCAGAATTTGAACTGTCTCCCCTCAGTGGAATGCCTGCATTGTTCTCTCAGTCTGACTTCGTGTGTGGAGAGCTGGGTGCCTGCTATACCACCGATTTGCCTAATAGAGATTATGGCCAAGACTTTTCCGAGACTTCCACCTGTGGAGTCACTCAGTATATGATCTCAGTTTTGATCCAAGCCTTCCACTGCCACCCTTAGAATTAAGGAAGTAAATATACCCTGTAACAAAATAAGCTCTTGTTAAAGTAAGACAAAATAGAGCTGTGTCCCAACTCTGTAAACACATCTCTGAGTAATTGGAATGACATTCCATAACCACGTGCCTTTCATATCCTGATGATACAGCCATTTTTGTAATCCAAGAATGACATCAGGAAGTGATTGAACCTGTTGCCCAATTACAGGAATAAAGAGTATATACATTTATTCACCCAAACTCAAATCCTCATCTCTGGCTGATGAATATTGGCATTCAACAAGATAATTCGAAAATAATCCTGCTCTTGGCCCTGTTCTCAGATGCTTTCCAGGCTCTTCTCCAGGTAGAGGTGGCATTTTATTCTAGCCTGTGCATGTCTAAGAGATTATAGCTTTCTTGAGATGTCAGTCTAACCTAGATTGTGAAGCCATATGGCTCTGCACGTCACAAAAGCAAAGGACTGAGATACTACAGGCTTCTGTGTGGGACATTATCTCACTTCTGTCTGGGACATTATCTCCATTTCACTGCTTTGTAATACCTTTCTGAAGGTTGCTCGAGAACAGCAGTGATCTTGGTAGACTGTATAAGAGATGGTACCCCGTTTCTCTAGAACAGTGATTTCCAGCAAGGGAGGGACCTTTTTGCCATGAGCATCCCTGTTTTATCAGCCAGTGTGACTGCTGGCAAAGGATGTACCCCTCACGTCTGCAATGGGACCAAAAGAAATACCAGAAACCACTGTTCTTGGTACTTAAGCAGTGCTTCTAGATTTTAAAATGGGTTTTAACTATTCAAGAAAATAACCATTCTTGTAAGAAGCTCAGATATTATGGTTAAAGTAAAAGCCCTCCTTAATCAAATCTCCCATCCCCAACTTTGTGTAGCCCAGGCACTGCCCCAGAGAGAGCCCTGTCAGGGATTGTTATGTAACCTTCCAGATACTTCATGTATTTATTTTCATACATACGTCAACACCTATGAAGCTGCACAGTATTCTCTAGTATCACACTGTATGATTCTTTGCATCTTGCTGTTTTCACTATCCGATGTGTCCTGTATTTCCTGGACTGTCCATACAAATTGTCCATAATATGGATGAACCATAGTTCATTTAGCCATTCCTTTATTAAAGGACATTTAGGTTTGGACAGTGGTTTCAAACCTTAAGTGCATTCTCATAACATCACAACATAGAAAGTAAAATTTATACTTGATCTGCTCCTCAAGTAAGTTATAGCAATGGAAGGCTTACTAATTTACTGCATAGTAACTTGGGTAAATGGTCCGTTTGTGCCTTATTTGTACACTTTATACCTCAGTGTATCTTTAAAATGGAGTCAAAATTGTACCCATCTCACAGGATTGTGGGAAGGATTAAAAGAGGTGAGGCAAGTGCTCTAACCAGTGTCTGGCAAATGTTGAATGTTGCTATATATCGACAACATAGTGTGTGGGCCCTATTGTATTGGTTTCCGTAGAACTGCTTTGGCATTTGGCCCATATTCCTTAACCTTTGACCTATTCAGAGGGTGTTACAGGAAAGCAGTGAGTTCTACTGGGCTCTGTTTACTGTGAGGATATCATCATGGATGTTGTTTATCCCACTACACAGAGTGTCTCTGTGAAAACAAGAGGAGTTTCTCGCTTCCTTACAAATAGTAATATTTCTCCTAGGTAGTTGATTTGATTTTTACCACACTTCACTGGTTCACTGGTCTGTGCATTTTTTAACTCACTGTGCTTCACTTTTTCCAATGGATGCTAGAGCGGGCCCAGATTTTTAAAAATCTACTATTGCATGTCTTATAAACTCGGTGCCATGCACTTGGTGTATTAACATGATGTCAGCTTACTTTCTTACTCGTGTCTGTGTGTGAACTAGTAAAAATAGTTACCCTTCAGGGTGATTGGATGGGCAGCCCTTGTATTACAATGAGGAGCTTACCACCCTGCTGATGGAGGCGCCATTCTTGCTGCCCTGCTATGTGGCCCTAGGCCCATGCCGACTGGCCCTGGGGTTGGACGTGCACAGCTCCACCTGGGGGCCTGGGTCCTTTTTTAATCTCTCTGTCCCCTGAAAATCACCCTCATGTGAGTTCTTGACAGAAAAGCATTTGACCTGCTGTTAAGAATTATTTTCCTTTCTTATTATGTTCTGAGAAAATGTAGGTTATAATTAGGTCCTTGCATACTAGTCTGAGTTTGACCATGTGAGGACTGGAATATTAATTAGGGTAACAAGGATAAACTACCATCAACACCAAGGACCATCTGTGATTGTTAAGGCCCTTTGTCTGTGGTGTGGAAGAGCTCCCGTAATAGTGAACAGATGCAGACCCGAGAGAGGCTCAAGTAAAAGGCAGCCACTGTGCCCCATCTAGCCTGGGCCTGGAACAGCCGCCTGAGGAAAGGGCCCCTGGGCTGGCCCTTCTACTGCATCGCCAACGAAGAGCCTGCAGTCCTCTCACAAGTGAGGCTTTAGGGCTTGAATGCAGAATGCTAGTCCCTGTTTCTGTCTAGGCTGGGCCCGGCTCTGCCCCCTGCCCTCACCTGGGCAGTGCAGTGGGGAAGGAGGAACAAGGGAAGGAAGGAGGGGCCCTTTCCTAATGGAGGGAGATTGGAAAGTTCATTGGGAAGGTTGAAGTGTTGGGGGAAATTGGCTCAGGAAAAGGGGCCACCTCTGGCTCCCTGCTAGGTTCGTCTCTGGTCCTTCCTTTGCACAATGACAACTCTCCTTTGAAGTGGTGTATACTGCCTCGTGAGCACTGGTGTATTTACTCCTCCAGACTGGCCCACATTATGATTGTCACTTCCCCATTTAGCAATAAGGTCTACTTTCTCAGACTGTCAAGCCCCTGGATGGCCTACAGTGGGCATCTGGTTTTTGGCCTTCCAGTCAGCATGGAGGAAGGGAATGTTGCTGGCATTGGGCCAGCTCAGTTCCATTAGCAGCCACCTCCCTCCTACCTGACTGCAGCTCCTGTCTCCTGCTCAGGACATGTTATAAGATTCTTCCATTTTAAATCTCCTTTTCCTTCGTTTTCCATGGTTTCTGACTACTTTCCATTTCCTCTGTTTTCCCTCTGCTCAGCCCTTTGAGATCCATCTGGCTGTCTTTTGTATTCTCAAGATGTCCTCTTAGCTTGCTTCTCTCAGCTCTAGCACTGCAGAAACCCATCATAGTGGCCCAGTGGAGCTGGTTAGATAGAACCCTCAACGTGGTTGAGCCTCTTGCTTAATTCACAAGGCTGCTGGAGCCCTTACCAAGGGGTGGGATTGGCCACTTCTGGAAGGGACATGTGAGTAAATGAAGGGCATCTCCCAGCCTCCATTTCCACTGGCATGTTCAGGACAGGCTTCCATGCTGGAAGGTGTGCCTTGGCTCTGGAGAACCCTGGTTTGAGAATTAGGAGATACCAATGTCAGCGCAGGAATTACTCCCACATAGTTCCTTGGTGAATGGTACCAGCTTCCTGGTCTCCACAAAGAGTGGGCTCTTATTGCTATTGGTGCCTCTGGTAGGCTGTGTCTACAGCTAGACCAGATCCAGCGTGTCCAGTCAAGTCCACCACTGGCTCTGGAGCTCCATGGAGGACTTCCCAGCCAGAGGTGAGGTCATCCAGGGGTGGCTTTGCCAACTTACAAGGTACACCTATCACTGGCATCTGGTCTGGTCCTCCTTTATAGTGGTTTTGAAATCTGTGGTTTCCTATTTAGGTGGGTGGTTTTGTACATATAATCAGCAAAACTGTCCTCACAAGTTGTAAACTTCATTTGGAAGTTGGTAAGATGTTTCTCCAACCTTTTACGTGTACATTTTTTCTTCTCTTTAGTCCCAGGTAAATCACCATGGTGCTGCTAGTACTGAAACGTACCAGGAACGCTTGGCGCGTCTAGAAGGAGATAAGGAGTCCCTCATATTACAGGTGTGTTTTTTGATGGGAACCAACTTACCCTGATACTTCCAACTCTGTAGCTGCTCTTTGTGGGAGGGAAGTATAAGAGGGTTTTCTATTGGATTTATTCTGTTCCTAAGTGTATGGTTTTAAAAAGACTTTTCCTAAAACAAAGCAGAAAGTAACTGGGGACATAATTTAACTCTGGACTTGCCTTTTGGGGTCTGTGAATGCATTCATGTATTCATTGTATACTACCAAGCACCTGCCTCTAAACACTGGAGACTCTGTAGCCAGGCTGATTAATGGGGCACTGTTCTCCAGGAGCCCAGGAGTCTTGCAAAGGAGATAAGATGTATCCCCATGTCACTAATAAAACAGATCCATGAGTGATATGCGCCTAAGGGTGGATGCTAACAGGATCAGGCCCAAAGCTTCTGGAGCTGGATCTAGACTAATCACTATGAGGCCAAATCCCTGGAGCTGGTAACATGGACCAGTGAGCCTTTGACTCTCTTGGTTCGAAGAGAGGAGCTCCAAAAATTTTCATGGATAAAGACCATCAAAGGAATATTTTCAGTTCTGAACATTCACGTTCCTTGCTAGGACATAAAATTAAGCATTCTTATGGAAGCCTATTTCTGTGGCACGCAGGGTCTCTTGGACATGTTAGCTCTCAGATGCATAAATCAAACGTATGTTCAAGGTCTGGTATGCATCAGACATTGTGATTGAGATTTGGAGACTAATAAGACTGATATCCCAACCCTAGCTCCTTTAAAAGCTTGAAGCGTGGCAGACGAGAGTGGCAGTGGAAGGGAGGAGAGGCAGGTGGGGTTTGGGAACCCTCCGCAGACCAGGGCTGTGGCTTAGAGCATGAGAGTAGGTTCTAGTTAGTGGGGAGGCTGCGGTATGTTCGGCTTTTTCCTCTTCTTTTACTTCATTTCCTTTACTTGTTTCACTTCATTTTATGAATGTAAGAGTAGTAAACGATTATTTTAGAAACTTGGGAAAGGCAAAAAGAGTTTAACTTTAGATCTTTTTTTCCAGCTTCTTCCCCTGACTCCCACCCCCACCCAGTTCTTGCCCCTATTGTAAATGATTCATTAAGCTTAGGCCAAATACAATTAGACAATTTGGTGTCCTAGGTTTTTTCTTTTCTTCACTTCATTGATCTGCTCATTAAAAAATATTTGAGTGCGCACTGTGGTGGGCCCTCGTCGGCGGTGTGTGAGCACACAGCCATGAGGAAAACGGACTCAGTCCTTGTGCACACGTGAGCATGCGGCATGTGCGTAGACAGGAAACCAGTACACAGAGTGTTTCAGGCTGCAATAAATACTCTGGGGGAAAAGAAAGCGGGATCAGGGTTGTGTAGTCAGGGAAGACCTCCCTGATAGGAGGAGACCCGAAGGAAGCTTGGGAGGGAACCGCGTGCTTACAGGCAAAGCCCGTTCCAGCAGGGGAGGTGGTCACCGCAGCCACAGCCTGACTAGGAGAGTGCTGGTGTGTAGGAAGAACAGCAAGGGGCCACGTGGCTGGGGTTGGTGGCTGGGAGCAAGCCTGGGGGGAACCTCCTGCAGAGAGGTCGAAGGAGCCAGATGGTATAGCCCATTAGTGTGCAGGTCTTTTGAGGAATGTGTAATTTGAAACTTCATCCCAATGATGTGATTAATGAAAAGAGTGTCCAGTGTAGAATTTTGCAGCAAACAGTATGAAATTGCAAGTGTCTAAACCAGGAACTTTCATGGCTGCAATACGCATTCTTACTTAGAGGAACACAGTTTAATAAAGAAGAACTCTGTGGTAACGATCTCTCTGACATTCACGGTGTTTCAAAATTTCAAATTCTTGAATAATCCTTATTTAAACAATGCTAACACTAGTGGGAAGCTGTCCATCAGAAAAGTCAGAGGTGGATCCTCGTGATTTCTGTTCTGCCAGGGACCTGTGGACAGACCTCCAGAGTCGCTCCTCTGATCACCACTGGCTCCTAGCAGCCCCATGGAGCTGGTTAAGTGGACCCTCAAGGAGGTCGAGCCTCTTGCTTAATTCACAAGGCAGCTTAAGGCAAACTGAAAGTATTATTTAGAACCCTTGGCCCAGGATGTTTTCCTGGGTCTGCTGGTTAGAAGAGCAAGGCAAATCACACATAACAAAATACTTTGTTTCCATGATTACTTAAAACCAAACAAAACCAAAATCTCTTAAGGCAGGGACTTTGGTCTTTTTTTTTCCCACTTCTGTATCCACCCCACCCCCACACCCACCTCCTGCCCCAACTCCACCAAGTGCCTAAAGTTATGCCTAGCACAAAGTAGGGGCTCCAAAATTATTTGCTTTTATGAAATAAAGGTCACATTTTAGGATCTTTATGCATTCTGTTCAATTTTCTACATCTGGCTCCATTCGTGATATTTCAAATGAACATTAAAGTTCCTAAGGACCCTGCTGCCCTGGGTGCCTGCAGCCCTGTGTGCAGCTGAGCTAAAAGCTCCACCATGTAAAAGAGACCACATATTATTCCTCTGGGTACCACCAGCGTATGGCTCCAAGGCGCGGGGCAGACCATGTAAGTGTTAAACCTCAAAATAAGATTAACTATAACACATCCATCCCAAACAGAAACTCTGGAACCCAGGGAGCTTTGAAAGGCCACCTTCTAGAATCCTACACTTTTGGTAGAGCTGGTAGTTGAAAAAGCCCGAACTGCTGATAATGTTCGGCAAAAAGGATTAAAAAAACCACACAGCTTTGTGTTTAAGAAGGGACCTATGGGGCTTGAATGTAATTAAATGTCAGCACACCATGCCTCATGTAAGATGCAGGAATATGTCCTAATAATTCATTAATCATTTGGGAACATAAAAATGAAAGCTTAAAGTAGACTTAGTAATTTAGATTAGTCCCTTTGTAAAGGGGAGCTTTGTAATTCATAAAGCTTATTTAAACACTCATAAGTGAATTCACGTTAACCCTGTCGTGCTCCAGCTATAATTCCTTTACAGACAAAGAAATCATTTAGGATAGTCTATATGTAAGCGGCAATGACTCACTCATTGGCTAAAAACCAAAAGGGTCTAAAAGATCCCAACTTACCAATCATTGATTTCTCTGTTTGGGGAAGGCCACCCTTTCTTTCTTCATCTTCCTGCTCTGAGGCAACTTTTAATAAGGAAGAAGTAAAAGGATTCTGGGGCACTGTACTAACAGAGAAGGCTATGAAAATCCTCAGTATGTATTTAGGGTATAGTTTAAATGACTTATTATAAATTTTTGCTGATAATTCCAATAGATATTCTCAGTGTTCTTCAGAAAAATGACTTTTTTCCTGCCAGTATATGTGCACTGTGGCTTGTGTATAGTTACACAGAGTCATGTTTTGGCCTGTGAAGCACAAAAACCTTTCTGGAGCCAAGTTTTGTCAGTGCTAATACATGCCCTTTACATCCCACATTCCTTAATGGCTTCAGAACACTTGCCTGATAGGTGAGCATCCTCACACCCTCATGAGAGAGGCAAGGCCATTGGTTAGTTTGCACAGGAGCGTGGAGAGCTCTTCCACATGAGGTGGCAGAAGCTCCCACAAGCCAGCGGAGATGTGCCTTGAGGTCGGCGCTGCCTGAGTGAGCTCCATGAGAGGAGCGGGAGGCCAGCCCAGAGGCAGCTCTTGTGACCACGGGGTGTTCTCTTTTGTGTTTGTTAAGAGCAGGAAACATGGCCAACATTGTTTAGGCAGTGGTCAAGACTCTGGCAATGTAAGAAAACAACTGGAGTTGCCTCCATCCAGGACCCTTCCCCCATCTGCCGCCCACCAAAAAGAAAAGCCATCCTTCTTCTGTAAGGCTGCTCAGTGGTGTAGTTTCACAGCTCACCTACAGCGGGGAGCCTCCAGCATTGCTTTATTTCCTGGGACAGGTGAGTGTTCTCACAGACCAAGTGGAAGCCCAAGGAGAGAAGATTCGAGACCTAGAAGTGTGTCTGGAAGGACACCAGGTGAAACTCAATGCTGCTGAAGAGATGCTTCAACAGGTAAGGGCGGGTGGGCCGGAGCTGCACGTGGTGCAGGTCCCTGTCTGTGTCCAGGCTACAGCACTTGCTGCTCACTTGCCCGTCCTGCCTGAAGGTAGGACTGGCTGCTCAGTGTGCGGTGTTTATGCAGCAGGTGAAACCAGCCTGAACGTCGAGAGGGGTAGAGGGTGGGGGGCGGGGAAGGACTGGCCTGAGAGGAACAACCTGTTGGGCTGGTTGGGCAGATTCCCAGGCAGCACTTTCGGCGGCTCTGCTGGCAGCCTCGCCCTCATCACATGAGCCACAGCTGGACGCAGGGGGCATCTGGGGTTTCAGAAAGTCAGCAGCTTATTTTGTGCCTCTTTCCTGCCCTCCCTCTCTCCCCTCCCACTCTGGGTTGTCATCTTGGTAGCCGAAGTAGAAATGGAACAATACTTGTTGGTATTTACTACATAAATAACATTTTAATATAATTTGATAGATACCAAAATGAAAAAAACCTTAGCCCCTCTTACCATTCAAATAAGTCTCCCAGTGTCTTCTGGTTACTTTGGGTTCTCCACGTTGTCATGTGGAGTTACAATTTAGCCCTCAGATTTTGTATGCTTCACATCACAGAGTGAGTTTTGTTCCCACTTTTCAAATTTTTCCATATAGTTTTCTTTACTATTATTTACAGGGTTTTTTTCTGAGTAAAGTATCATAATTGACTTATTCTTCTGCTCTTGAATACTATTGCCCTATTGTAAATAATGAGCTGCAGTTTTTAGGAAGGGGTGTTGAATCCTATCAAAAAAGTCTTTTCAGAATCTGTTGAGAAGCTAATTATACATTTTGTTTTGTGAATTTAATATGATCTAATTAATAGATTTCCTTATCTTGAGTCATGGTTGCAATTTTAATTATTTTGAAAAATAAACATGACTGAAGTTTTTATGTGTGTATGTACTCTAACTCCCACCAGAGTACCTGGCACATAAAAGGTACTTACTAATTATTTAAAGAACAAAAGTCAGTCCCTTAAAATGAGTGGGGTTCAGTTAGATGACTGCTTATAATCTTTCCCCCAAAGTACTTATTTTTTTTATTGCCAAGATCAGCATAAAATGAAAATTGTTTCTTGACAGAATGGTAATGAACACAGGCTTTGAATTGGCCTGTGGTTTTATGATAAATATCTTAGTTCCAAGGTGTTCCTTAGGTTTTTTTTTTAATACATTTGAAGAACTTTAAAAAGAAAGTGTTTTTATGCACGTCTTTATTAAACTAGTTCCAACAGCTCGGAAGCTGTTACTAGTTTATCTTTTCATTGCTGATTAATAATTTACCACATTCTTGGCTCCATTTGATTTTCTATTTAAATTGTGTGCCATTTTCCTTGTTCACCACATTCCTGAAAATCTGAGCAGCAATAGGAGTTGTCTTCTTATTTTTTTTAAGTTGGCTCTTTCTTTCTGAAGACCCAGGAAAGAAAAGAGCCTGATGGAAAAATCTCAAATGGTAGGAAAGCATTTTCACAAAGAGTGCATAAACAACCCACTAAATGGTATTTTTAAGGCTGCACAAGAGGTGGTTTTGAGTGGGGATAAGGGAGGAAGATGATAGGGTGTTGTCAAAAATCCAGACAGCATGAAAATGTGAATGTGGAAGGGAACACACCAGAGAAATATCAGAAGGTTGCTATTTCAGGAAGGCGGTGCCCAGCAAGTAACCACGAAATCAGAGTTCAGAGAATGGCTGCATTGTGGTGCCTGAGCTATCGGACTGTCCTCCCCTGCGACTCTGCCAGGACAGCCCTCCACCCCTCTCCATGGCAGTGTTTCTGCTCCCTTGTCAGAGTCTGCAAGATAAGGAGTCTGATGTTGGTTCCCGGCACCCCCAGGGGGTGGCTGTCCTGTCCTTCGAAGCATTATCCCCTAGATTGGATTTCAGACTTTTGAAAAAGTCTCAGGTTCCCTTGCCCTTTATGTCCTGTTTATTCTAATTATTCCTTTGTGTGCTGTGGGGTGAGGCAGCAGCTATGTGGTTTGCACAGGCCATGGGTGCATGTCTTGGCTTGGCACCTTTAGGACTATGGTAGCTCTTATTTGCTACCTCTGGGTTGAAAGAGCTTCCTGAACTTAACCAAGTTATTTTTGTGCTCATAACTTTCACTGTGTTCTCTCACTATTTCAAGGGTGAAATGAAAGGAGTATAGAATACTCCTTTCTTGGCAAATTCTGAGTTTGTGTTATAGGCCCCATTTGAGCCTCAGCCCCCATTTATGTGTTTGCTGGGCTTGGTGGTACCTGAGCTTAAGATATTTGGGTTCCCAGCTCCAAACCCCAAGTTGAATGTTCTGCTGCAAATGCTAATGGCTCTCCTGGAATCTGCCCCATGCTATTTGAAAAGACACTTCATTCTTGGACCTGAGTGCTGATACGTACTCTACCTATAACGTGGAGTAAGGACGTACATGTCCATGAACTGGGGGCAGGCAGAGACTTCCCTGGTTTGACTGTGATATCCGGGACCACAGGGCTCTTGGCTTCTGGTGATGGAAGCAAGAATGACTCATGGCCTTGAGGCAGAGAATGGAGTCAAACAACTGCCTCTTGCTGCCAGCCCTCAGACAGTTCCTGTTCTGAGCCAAGCCTGGAGCTCTGAATGAGATCCTTTCACTGTTACAATGTGGGGCCCTATGACTGCCTACTGACATGCTTTCCTGGGATCTGCTGCTCCGGATAGCCCTGCACATTGAATATGTCTTATCTGAAGGAGGCAGCTGCTACTCAGCTTGAACTGACTGCCCATGTAGGCCCAGTGTTGTTCGATAGTCTAGTGTTTTGCAGAAAGCTAGAAATCCAGGTTCCAGATTTAAAGATGTCTTTGTATTTTTATAACATTGGCAACTAATTTAAATTTTCAAAAAAAGCACCTGTGAACCACATAATACATACCTTCAGGCCAACCCTACCCTACAGACCTCCAATCTACAACCTGTGCCCTAGACTTTGTCTCCTCTGCCGGCTGGAATAGCACTGGAGGGACTTAAGGAAACCCAAACCCAACCAGCACAGCCCAGACTCTGTGTTACATGCGCTCCTGCAGCCCCACTGAGCTGTGTACACACCCCCACACCCACACACACAGACACGTAGATTTGGACCAATGTCAACCTCCCTTCAGCAGCCCCAGAGTAAAGGAGAGAATTCCCTACCCAGCTCATGATCCACACACTCCTCAACGTGGCCCAGCCTGGCCCCTGCTAAGTACTGATCTCTTAGCTCCTGTTTTCTTCTATGCATTAACTCTTCCAGTCTCCAAAAAGAGCAGGAAGACTGTGGGGGTTAGACAGGCAAACCAGGACCAAATAATCAGTACATAGACCAGTCCACAGGAGCAACTTATAGATTATAACACTTTTAAAAGGGCAAAATATTTCTTGTCTGCAGCCTCTGCAGGATGCGGGGTGAGAAGGGGGAAGCTATAAGCATCTCTTGGAATGTGTATTCAAGAGCCTACTCAGATACAGTGTCAGACTCACTGAATGTGTCTGATCTCCCAGGGAACCTTCCCTATTAGAAAGAGACATTTCCTAGGAACCATGCAAGTGTAACTTCAAGGGACCACAGGCAGGGGTAGTCTGAGCCTGGGTACAAAGCTCACAGGGCTGCCCCTTGCCCTCTGCTCCTTAAGCAGGTCTAGGCATTGCCCAGAGGCATCTTTGAGTGCTGCACACCCAGCTTTCTGAGCCCAGGGCCCAGAATAGCATCCCTGGACTATAGGCATGGACTAGTGACCTCTTCATAACTGGCTCACACATGCTGGGAACAAAATCTCTCTGTCCTGGGGAGGGTTCCCCATGGTCTGTTGATGTTCCTGCTGGTAGCTTTTGCTAAATTGGCTTCTGGGGTCCAGTAGGGTCCTGCACAGCAAGTTCCTCTGCCTGTGTTCACTGACCCTTCTCCAGAGGTTGATGGTTTCAGGGAAGAGGCTGATGCTACTTAGAGGACAAGTGGTTTTACACAGAGCTGGCAGCCAAACGGAGCACTTTGCAGAGACCAGCCATTTACTGATCTGATCAATGTCAAGAGCAGAAGTGATGTTCAGTGTCAAAAAGAAGACAGCAAGCAAACGCCCTTGTGAGCACACACCTTAGCTTTTGGAAAACATTGAAGGACACCAGCCTCTCTCTCAGCTCTCCCACCTGACCAGAGCACCATGCGTTAGGCAGCAACCTCGTTCTGGCTTCCTTGAAGAGGAGGTGTGGGGAGTGACAAATTTAGGGGATTTGGAGTCCGTGCACATGCCTTTCTGTAGATTTAGCACGTGCTGTTGATCTGGGAAAGCCCCTGAACCAGTGTTCTTGTTCAGAGAATGGGAGTGACAATGTGGGCTCTACATTGCCCCCTACTTAGAGCTGTGGACAGTTATTACAATTCTGTTAAAACTGGGCTAGGCCACAAATGGCCAGTGGGAGTCAGGACACTGAGCATGAGGACAGGGGCTTAAGACACAGTTCCTGGGCCCCGTTCTCGCCCCTGAGTTGAGCAAGGGATGATGTGTCTGGGCATGTGAACTCAACAGTGTCATCAGCACTTGGCTGAGAAATCCCCACGAGCACCTTGAAGGAGACATTTCTCTCTCAAAAAGGATATTAGACATAGCTGTGTACATGATCCTATGGGAGCCCAACTCTGTTCGAGGAGGCAAGACATTTGAGTCATAAGTGAGGAAAACAGGGATTTGCCAGTTGTTCCTAAAACTCCCCCTGGGAAATTTATGAGGCAGAAATAACTGCTTTCCTCTAGTTTATCCTCTGTGATGCTGGCCCCAGACCACAGGGGAAAGTAGGTCCTTTGCCCCCTTTTTACGGTTGAGGGGACTGAGGTTTAGAGAGGTGACTGCGGGAGTGGGGACTGAGGCTGGACTCAAACTCAGGTGGACTGCACGCACCTCTCTGCAAGTGTTGCTCAGGAGGGAGACTTCCCGGCAAGGCCCAGGCCTGCACTCAAAGGGCAGAGGCACACATTCTTCCT